GCTTTTAATAAATGGAATTTCACAAAGAAATTCGTATACATCACTAGCATCTTTCCGTAGTTTTACTTGACCACCACCAGGATCGCTAGCTGTATGTGCGCGCATCCCTAACTTGCCAAAAAACGAGCTGAGCTTCCCTACTGTATAAATACGTGTACTGTGGTAATACCTTATTTCACTGTTAGATGACGTGGCCAAATTTGCGTGGTCAGCCGAAAAAACAGGCCCGACGGTTTGAGCCCTCGTTCGTAAAATAAGTCATCATTGACATAAATTATATTGAATTGAATCCTTTACATCTGAAGCTGAAACAATAGGGTCTTTTTAGAATAAAAAAGAAAACAATTAAAATCGATGCACAAGTTTAAGTGTACAGTAATCGTACAAGTGGATAAAAAGGTTTACATTACAAGTGGGTTTTGTAGCCTTTTTGTGATCATCAGTTGTTTTTTAACGCGTGCTTTAGAGGGAGTGTCTGCGCGTTTGACTCACAGCAATAATCCCTAGCATCGCAACAATAATCCTACCCTACAACCAGTCGAAAACGCTGTACCTTTATCTCCAGAGCTGCGTGCGTTTTCGATGCAGACGTCTTGTCAGAGAGATTTCTCAACTCACAGCACACGAAGTAAAGGGAAGGAAATGTCTGTGCGTTGAAGCAAGAAGCAATTCAATTCTCCTCAAATGAATTTCCTGAATATGCTAATTAGAAGACCTGCTACTAAAGTGTGGGTTGAGAAAATAGCGATGCATTGAGATCAAACGTTCCTTGAAACCTCTGCTAGTTTTCAATTCAGCCACAGTGTGACAAAAATACATCAACTGGCAGTACCACAACATTCTCGTATGTATTTTTCAATTAATTTTTCAATATTTGTATTACATATATTTTTAATTGGGAACATCGCGATAAGTAGATTAACTAGTAGTGATACATCATTCTCATATTACGTATTTTCGTCATGAACATTTTATATTAAATACTTGCAGTACACTCTTGAATTGTTCCAAAGAATATTATTAAGAAAAGTCTGGGTCTGATGAAGTATACCGAACTTCGAAAAGGAAAAAAGTATTAATTCTGTATCAACAAGCTTCAAAATATTACGTGTGTTTGTAATTTTTTAAATTAACAACAATTACATTATTATTTTTAAAATTTTTATAATAACAACTTAAATGATAACAATAACAATTAAGTTATTAAAATCAGTCAGAGACAATACAATATTAAATATTTGAAAACTGTTACCTCTTTTAGTGTAATCCTAGTTTGTAAGCAAATTTATAAGAAAATTATTGTTCGTTTGTAGACGTCTTACAAAATGTAATCACGTTTTATGATATTCGTATTTTATTATCTTGTTAAAATGCTCAACGCAACTCGTCATACTAGCGACAATTCTCCACTTTCGTATTGGGATAAAATATCTCACGATACTTCTGAGTTAAATAACCTTTAATGCTACTGAATGAGGTTCGCGACCTAACTTTGCCAGGATTTACGACCCTGACTAAGCAGCTAGATCAAATTCAGCTGTCTGAAGGAAAATTCCAGCGGTCGGCCTCTCTGGTCTGGAGTTTTCCGTGTTTTTTGTCCGATTAAAGTCAGGCGAATGCCGGAGCAGTTCCCTAACAAAACGGGGCACAGTCCCCACGCGAACTTTTCTTCCTTTTCCTTGCCCTATCCTCTCCCCTTACACTAGCATGCACCACAGTCCACACATGGCGGGAGACCGGTGGGGAGCTTAGAGCTCTTCCCGGCTGTGATGGTTAAGATCAACACCATGCGAATGCCGGAGCAGTACCCTAACAAACGGGACACGGACCGCGCGCGATCTTTCCTTCCCAATCCTTGTCCTATCCTCGCCCCTTACACTAGCATGCACCACACTCCACACATGGCGTGAGACCGGTGGGGAGCTTAGAGTTCTTCCCGGCTGTGATGGCTAAGATCAACACCATGCGAATGTCGGAGCAGTTCCCTAACAAACGGGCCACGGTCCACACGCGAACTTTTCTTCCTTTTTCTTGTGCTCTCATCACACCTTACTTAAACACACTTACACTTACACTTACACTTACATGCACAACACTACCACACTTGCCGAAAGACCAGTCGGAAGCTTAGAGCTCGTCCCGGCTGGGGCTGGTGGGAGATATCTGGATGGGGAAAATCGCGCAAGCTGACGTGTAGCTCGGCGCCAGATCTCAGAATCCAGAAGAGAAGAACACCACTTATCGTGATAAAAAACCATACACCCCACTTACGAGACTAACGACCATAACTGTTGACGCTCCGGGAAACACAAAATAACTATTACGTAAGTACCATCTGCGGACGGTTTTTTCTGAATTTATCTCACAATTTTGACCATATTCGGCAACGTTTCCTCCCACTGTCCGGTTACGTGAATACGCGGCCATCGGGATATTATCCGGCGCCCTCGGTAGGTCGAGATTTCCTGAGGCGTTGCCATGGCGACGCGACGCCTTTGCGGCCGTTGTCAGTATCGACATGCGCCGACCAGTGATGGAAACACAGAACGTGCGGCATTGCGCAAGAAGATATGGCATGGAAAGGGAGATCCTATGACGTCATTTGTTTCGGAGTCGGCGCGAAATTTAAACATCGCCGGTGTAGCAAACGGACTTTCTGCTGGGGCAGGGCGACTACAATGTTTTAATTTGCCGCGAATTTGTGAGACTAGATTGCATGTAATATAGGGCGGGAAGTTAAAACAATTGTGTGATTATCATTAACGACCATCCAGTTGTAACCATCATTATATTTTACACCAACAATACATTATTACATTTTTAAAAGTAATGGAAATGGCGGCTTACCGAAAATTTGCTTATTTTAGGGTTTTTACTCGGTTACTGACATTAAAGAAATGTAATTGGCATGATTTATAGAACTAAAAGTGTGAGATAAATTGCACTGATAAAGAAATCTCTGGCTCCTAGGAATGTTGAAAAATAAATTTGAACTGTTAAAACTTTCAAAATTTCAGAGGTTTTGTCGAACATAAGGTCTGCACCATACTAATAAATGCATTTTCTTCTATTCCAGCAAAAAAAAAAGAAATTGTGAACCTCTTTTCCAAAAAAATGATAATATCACAGAGACGTCTTGTGTCTTGTGACGATGGCAATGCTGGGGAAAAGACGATAATGATCACAATGAACTGGTAAAGACGATAATGCTTATGATGGAGGGATGATGATAGCGGAAAAGTTAGTGACTATTATGGTGAAGTGAAGGTGGTGAAGATTAGAATGGTTATGACTGCATGGCAATGAAATATGTGTTGTTTGAACAATGGTTATATTATTGAGATGAAAATAGTCTGGTAATGGCGATGGTGATCATACTGAAACGGTAAAGATGATAAAGATTATGTGAAGTGATAATTATGATTAAGTTAATGACTATTATGGTGAAGTACTGAAAAGTTTGGTAATGATGTAAGAAAACATCTTTCATGGCAATGAAAGATGTTTTCTCTTCGAACACTAACAGGGAGTACTTCGATACTTGAAACATCCTTTCCGTGTTATGGAGAAAATCAGTGTCAGGAAGTAACTCTGTAGTATATTTGTGAAGTGATAGCGTCTGGCGTGTGCGTGGAGATTGGCGGTATAGTTATTGGTTCGAGAAGGCGAAAGTTCCAATATACAACACATTCGTTTCACAGCCAGTTTCGTGGAATAGAAGTTTTTATTGCGTATATGATCGACGCGACGGGACATATGGGTAGAAAAGTTGAGAGAAGAACTACCTATAAGATCGATTGAATGAAGGGAAGTGATTTTTTGAAGACCCCAGTAAACGCGATGCAGAACAATATTGGTTCATTCTTCGATTCATTTTAATTCATCTAATTTAAGGGTTATTTCTCTTATTTAAGGGCTATTTACAATTAAATGAAATAAATTCTATTTTCAAAAATTGTATATAAAAATAACATGTGCAGTTATCTCCATTTGTGTACAATTTTCATTAAATTCATGTCCATCTTATGAAGGAAAACATTTACTTCTGAACCGTGAAATCTACAGCGCCTCAAATGTCACATTGAATTTTTGTTTATTTTTTAGAACGACTGGGAATCAACAGCTATTGAAATATTGCTTGTTTTTAAATGAAATATCAGATGGTACATTAACAATTAATGGTATTTAGATGACTTAATTGTATTTTTCTGATTAATAATATCTGTAAAGAAAATATCCTCAAATCAAGGTACTGAACAACGTACAGATGATTAAAATTCTTAGAAGGGCGTGAAGTTGTTACACTCTGAAATCATCTGAAAAACATAACTTCACAAAGAAAAAAAAAGGATTTCCTCTTGGTAGCGTAACGTTACGTTGTAAAATCGTAGTTTATGAAAGAAAGGCGCGAATCACCACGCGTACAGTATTATTACCGCACGTAACACTATTGTTTGTAAATAATAAACAAAGACGTAAAGACGAAACAAAACATCGGACAAGAAAAGAAAGTTAATCACGAAACATCGATGTTAAAAAACATCGGTGTTAATACATCACTGTTAAAAAACATCGGCGTTAATGCATCTATGTTAAAAACATCGACGTTAATACATGGATGTAAAGAAACATCGGCGTTAATACACTGATGTTCAAAAACATCGGCGTTAATACATCGCTGTTAAAAACAACGACGTTAATGCATGGATGTAAAGATAAAATCGGCGTTAATACGTCAATGTTAATAAACATCGGCGTTAATATATCGAATTTAAAAACATCGCGTTAATAGTTCGATGTTTTAAAAACATCGCGTTAATAATTCGATGTTAAAAAATTCAGCATTAATACGTCGATGTTAAGAACATCGGCGTTAATACATCGATATTAAAAAAACATCGGCACTACGCATGTATCAAACATCGATGCTTCTCCAAAAACGTCGATGTTTCGCAAATATCGCACCCTTAGTGCGAAGCGGCGAGGGTGTCCAGACCTACTTGCTTCTCGCGGACGAAGAGCAGGATGACGATGAGGTTTAACGAGAAGCCGAAGAAGCCGATGAGGGCGAGGACGGCGGCGGCGGCGGCGTACGCCCACGGCGCCATGGGCAGCTGCGCGTCGTCCCCCTCCGCCTCCATCGCCCCCTCCGCCCCCTTCGCCACGTCCTTCTGCAACACACACACACGCACACACACGAGGTCACTAGTGATGGTTGAATGTAGCGCTTCATATCAATTTTGTGAAAAAAAAAACTGGACACATTCTTTTGAACAATTTGATGTTCCAGGGGCTTAATGTAAAGTACCCCCCAAAATTAAAATATTAGTTTCAAATTCAAGAGGCCGTGACATATGCCAGATCGATCTGGGAATATCAATTTTGGAGAAAATCGGCCGAACTGTTTTAGCGCTAGCGTGGTTTACAGGTCAGAAAGACAGACGGATAGACGGACAGATCGACAGACGGACAGACGGACAGACGGACAGACGGACAGACGGACAGACGGACAGACGGACAGACGGTCAGGCGGACAGACGAACAGGCGGACAGACGAACAGGCGGACAGACGAACAGGCGGACAGACAGACAGACGGATAGACGGACAAACGGGCAGACGGACAGGCGGACAGACGGACAGCCGGACAGACGGACAGCCGGACAGTCGACAAACGACAGCCGGACAGAAATTTTACCGTCAATCGATTTTTCGGAGTCTAGAACAAAACAAAACATGGATTTAGACCGCACAATGTATTAGAGGAAGTAGTCTATACAAAAAGTCTATTCGACAAAATTTAACCGACATCAATATTACAAAAAGTAGTATACGAATAGCTTCAAAATTTTTACAGGCCCTTCTTTAGGGTTGCTACAGAGACCTGGCAAACTTTGGAATATATTAATAAAACAAAAATGCGAAAAGTAAATTGCTCCTTGCTATCATTTATTATTAATTTAACTAATGCTAACAGGAGTGATGGTATATATTCTGGGGCTCAAGAAAACCTGAGTGTATAATACCAGATAGTTTCCCGTACAGGCCGTAAGATAATTTTTTTAAATAATTTATAAACATTTAAAATAATTACATTAAAAATAACAATCTTAAACACCGTTTATATGAAATTTATTTTTTTCCTATTTGACAGGATTTGGATATGAAGAAAGACCGGCAATGCCAGGTAATTTGCTAGTTTACTATAAATAGGAAGATTACTATAAATACGATTTATCCATATTTTCAGTACCAGAGTAAGGCAATTAGAGCTTATTGTCAAAAATTCGCCGTTTTTCTCGAAGCGTTACAATACTTTCTCTATATTGCGTAAGCAACATCGAGAAAGTAAAAAAAAAAATTGAAAAAGACTAACATTATGGAACTTTGCAATTAGCATTTGTTGAAAAAAATTACTAATAGAAGACTCCTAGAGATCAAATTATATTGATGTTTTGTTGGTCTTCCCATTAAAATCAGAAAATAAGGGAGACACTTAATATTTCACCATATGTGAATTTAAACAAAATATAAAAGCGTAAGAAGAAATACGTGTGTCATAATCGTAGGGCCTTCCTCTCTTTCCCGTGTCTTCTGTAGAGTGAACTGAGGAAGCTGAGATCCTTTGAAATGATCCTGAGCGCTGACGCTTTTAGGATAAGTTTTTTTAAATTGTTCTTATTATTTTTTTAGTTGTTTGTCAGTTAAACCATTATTATAAACACGGCCATTCTCAAATTAAAAGTTCTCAAACGTCGTAAAGTTTTCGATGTCGCATCTCTAGTTTGCCAACACAAAGAAAACCAGAAAATGTAATGTACGTATTTTATTGCGAATTGAAAACCTTCAGGAATATACTGCTCTGACCGTCAAACATACAATTTCTCATTTTTTCAAACATTTCGCATTTTTAGCAATTGTTAAAACTTAAATTGTACAGTGAACTGTACTACACTGATTACAGGATGTATTTAAACTAATTGTAATTGTCGCTGAATATCGTTTTTAAGTTTTACACACGTTAAAGAATATTTTATTTTAGAAATTCTTCACTCAACAACTACATATCTTCAATTTTACTAGAATTGTTTATATTTCGCTCTAACTTAAATGAAAATCTCAATACCTATTCAAACAAAGCGATTTAATTTATAAATATGGGTAGTATCATTATTGACATTTAAAAATTATATTTTATAACTTCATTCCAAGGTAAAGACAGGTTTTGCATGTTAGTAATACACGTGTAACTAAGATCATTTATCTTCATAAACGTGTGCGATCTCTCTAGAAAGTAAGGCAAATCTTGAAATCACTTTCATACTCTAGCCCCCTTACTCCAGATTTCAAAGTCATTTCATCAGAAAGACGTAATAAATATTCCAATTACAATGCAAAATGGCGACGTGAAAAAGGATGAATTCCAGATCAGATCTACAAGAGCGAAGCGACAAATACAAATTGGTTCCGCATGTCCCTCTAGATCCACTTTCAAGAATCTGAATCTTCTCTAAAGGAGTCGAGCAGGTGCCTTTGATCATCTGAAAATTCTTTTTGAAATCAAATACTGATCCGCTTGCGTGAGTAGACACAAAAAGCAAGCCAAACGTCCCTTGGAAACGTTCTCTTCACGTGCTAACCAAAGCCAGGAGGTTCGAATTTCACAGAGGTTACACAAATTTGCATGATAGATGTTGCATTTCATCCGATGCTTAAAATACCGGTTTCCCCTCTGTATACTACAGTGCTACCATTTTATAATTGTGCCAATCGCGACGGACTGAGAGAGAATTTTTGCCTAGATTCACAGGGGAATGGAGACTTCGAAGTCGGCAAAATCGTACAAAAAGAAGCGGTTGGCATTCGGACTGGAGAGTTTAAATCGCGTTCACATCGTAGTCGATGCTGAAACTTCTCTCTGTTCTGATTCATTCCGTAGTTCTCACCAACTTCACATTTCTATGTGGAGGTATGTGTCGTGTCGTCCTATGTGGAGGTGTGTGGAGGAAACGTCCTAAAAATATGTAAAAGTTTTCCAAAAATTTATGACATAAGTTGTGACATACCTTGGTTTCACGTTTGTAAAACAGACTACGTAAAAAATATTTAATATCCGTGACATAATACTATCACATTTTATTTTATTATTTCTAGATGTTTTGAAAAAAAAACCAATTAGGATGGAAACGATTAAAGTTAATAGATTATTTAAAACAATATGTTATAATGTCTGTTTCACAAAACAATTGTCGGAATACTTTTTATATTCACAAGATAATAGGCAGTTAAAATATTCCATAAACATTTGCAAACAAACGTCTGCGGAAATCTTCACGTTGATCTGCTCTTTACATATGAGTAACACACAGACAACTTTTTTTGTAGTGAACTTGGAGCAAACAGAGTACTAACTAGACTGAAAAATAATCTCTGACGCAGAGAGATGCATTAAAATTCTTATCTCCAGTTTGACACCCCGGAAGGTGATCGAGTCCTAGCTATCATGTCCATACTACCGCACATGTTGATTCTACTTCACATGCCGATACTACTTCACACGAATGTAGACCAACCGGGAGCTTAGAGTTTCTGCCGGCTGGGGCGGTGGCCCGCGGGTAGGATGGTACCTGGTTAGAGCAAACCTCGCAAGCCGAATTGAAAGTCGGCACCGGATCTCGCCATCGAGCAGGGGAAGATCACCGCCACCTTCTGAGATAAAACATGCACTACATTTACCACAGCTAATGACCCTAGTAGTTGAAGTGCCCGGAAGCAATGAATCAATCGGAAGATGAGCGTCTCTTTTCCTAGCAATGTTTGATCAGTGTCTCATAACGTATCTTCTTCGTAGCACACCGTGTAATGGTTACACTATTTGCTGGTACACTAAGGAGAGATGACAGTTTTGAATGATTTATAAGACGTATTCGATACACAAAGCCTCGTGACTAGCGGTTGGTCAGCGTGCTCGCTTTTCACTACGTGGCGCCGGGTTTGATTTCCGTTGAGGCAAGATTATAGTGTGAGTTTCCTTTGCAATGTTCCAGTATATGTTGCTGTGTGACGATGAGAAAATTAACTTCTCAGGTTGAGAAGACCGGAATACGGCTTGGGGATGTCTACGTGCTAACCCCCTTAACCTATGGCCGTGAGGGAGGGTCGTCGCCTGCAAGGCTGAGCCCGTTCATGGGCTATCGCGCCTAGTAGATAGATAGATAGATAGATAGATTTATTAAAGTTCGCTTTGAGCTAATGCTTGGTGGCAAGCATGATAACAATTAGAATTAGAATTACTAAACATTTTCAACATTAACAATTGGGTTTACTATTAGAATTAGGGGTCTATATCATAGTTCCAATTTATTTCTAGCTAACTCTAATAATACATACATACATTCGATACAAAACCCATACGTTCAATTCAATTATGCCCTATTTTACGTGGCTTGTATCAGACCAGCCGGACCACGCAAACCGCTACACGCTTTTCGTCATCTAACACCGAGGAAATGTGTTTTTCGGACGACGAAACAAGCTCAGAGGCTTCTTTTGGGCATGCTTTTACACACAGTAAACCCAAAGTTAGAGTAAAATGTGAGTGGACGTCTGTTCTCTTCACTCAATAATAACTCAGATTCGAGTTTTAGTCGTAAAAAAGGGTAAAAAATAAAAAAATAAATTTACTGTAACTTGAGTGCTCTATTCATTTACCAAAAGATCATATTTTCGGATAAGAGCCAACTCTCCAGTTTTGCAACGAATGGTCGTCGCTTATTCGCCATTGCGGAGAAAAACTTTAAAATATACTAGAAGCCTCATGTAAAGTAACTTCAGAAATGAACGATTAAATTGGCATGGCATCGAAATTTGAATTCGGAAAATGTTATTGATGATTCAGGAATTAATTTCATCAAATCTTCATTAGACTCTAATAATCTGCAACAATAAATACGATAATCAATAACTAATTATGCGAAATGATTACTCAATACATCGCAACCAGATATCTCTCACCAGCGGGGCACCGCCCCAGTCGGGACAGGCTGTAAGCTCCCGACCGGTCACCCGGCATGTTTGGTAGTGTAGGGCATATAAGTGAAAGTGAATGAGGATGGAATAAGGCAGAGAAAGGAAAGATCGCACGCGATATGCACTTGCTTGTTAGGTTACTGC